TTCTCTCGTTCTCTCTTTCTCCTGTGCTGTCCATTTTTTCACCACTACCAATGCACTGCTTGAACATTGTGTTGTCTATGATTTACTCATTTCATTTAGCACTTTCAACACTGGCCTGACACTCCAGGCCAATCAGATTGCCAAGCCACTGGGACTGATTCACTCAGTATCTCACTTGTATCTCACAAGTATTGCTGAATAATTGTCCTCTTCCCATGTGACCCGTAAGATATGATAACTGAAAAGTTTACTGTCTGGGTTGTTGCTCAATAATTGCATCCAAACATCAGTTTACTCGCGTTATCTCCTTACATGAAAAAGCATTATATAACCACTGCTGTGTACATTCTCCAAATTCCAACATGGTGGAGCATGTTTTCAGAGCATGAAACACATTTGTAATGAGAAACAGACTCTGCCAGGGGCCGAAGAATAAAGAAGCTAAGGACGCTGTATGTACAGTACATTGTGTCCCTGAAGCTATCTACAGATCTCCACCAGCACAACACGAGACATCCACGACCAGTGTTGGTGGTATTATCCTCCTCCCAGCCAATTATGTGAACACTCAGGTTCAGGCCTCCAGCTTGGCCTCAGCCTGACTCTAGCTGGTATCCTGCTCGGCTCACCCCTCACGATACGGGCGAGGGCAACCTGCCAATTCTCATGGACATAATAGCGCATCGGTTGTGGATGGAGCAGGATGTAGGCTGGTGGAAATGGACTACCGCAAGCTGATTGCAATAGGGTGGCTTGTGGCACAGCTACTGGAATTCCAGTGGGAAGACTCACTTCTTACCAAGTGATGTATCATTTGCTCTCTTTCCAAGGATGTGAGCCAGACATCGACACACTAGCGTAGATGTGGTCAGATAGTCTGCTGCAGATAGAGCAGAGAGCTGGTCTCTTCAAGGTTTAGGGAAAATCCCCCTTGGATACTTTTACATGATCATCAATCAGAGATGATTCCAGGAGTTATTTTATGATGAAGTGTAACATTAAGTTACTTTTACTTGTTGGGCATTTTCCCTCAGAGTTTATCCGGTTTCCATCTGCCAGAGAACATGCTTCAATTCGCTGCAATCAGTTGTGGTTTCTACATGGTCACGTCAGTGTAGAGAGGCATAGCGGTGATGATAGCGAGCAATAACACTAATGAGTGAGTGTTGGCAAGTTTGAACAAAATTAAAGAATGCCCCTTACTCCATATGCAGGATGACTGTGGCTGCATTGCATTCTGGTCTTTGGAGGCCACCGGTGGTAAAGCGGTACGACTGGTATGTATATGTGCCTGGTTAATTGAGCACTAAGGGGCTGTGAACACAACATTGACCTTTGTTATGCCGAGTGTGTTAGCAACGGTTGCCTGATTACACACAGAACATTAACCGATGGGTTACTAAATAACTGTTATTACTGTTATTTACTTCTGGGGAATATTTCTGGTTCTTAAGCCACTAAAAATCTGTGTTTCCCAGATTGTCGCTCAATATTTCAGTGTGCCGTTTGGTGCTGGGCAGGTAGTGTGCAGCGGTTTATCAGGGCTATTATAAAACTGCTGCAGTTAGGGTTGCCCGGTTAGCTCAGTGGGGAACCTATGTACCGAGGCTGAGACCTTGCTGCAGCGGCCCAGGGTTCGAATCCGATCTGTGGCCCTTTGCTGCATGTGATCCCCTCTCTCTACTCCCCTTTCCTGTCTATCTTAAGCTGTATCTATCAAATAAAGGCAATAAAAGGCCAAAAAAAAAAAAAACTGCTGCAGTTCGAAAACTGAACAGAGCATTGAAAGATAAGTGTGTAGGATTTAGTGGCATCAAGCGGTATAGTTTAAGATTACCACCAACTGAACACTGCTCGCGTCTGTGTTTGACGACCTGGGAATGAGATCAGGCTACTGTAGAAACGTCGCAGTTCAACATGGCGGACTCCGTAGAAGGCGACCCACGGCGAATTTGGATAAAAAAGGCTGATTATTTGTCACTATGAGTGACCCCATTCACATCGCACATGGTTTAATACAAAAATGTTAATTAGTGCAGCTTTTAATTATCAAAAAAAGGAAGAAGCTCTTTGATGTACAAAAAACTGAAACCAAAACTCTGTGATATTTAAGTGATTTGGACATACATCTGCGGTATCTTAATGTAACATTGTGTCATCTAAATTTATCCTTTACACATTAAATGCAGCTATTTGCTATCATTGTTTTAGTTTTTTATGGTGAATCTTCCCTTTAAAGGTTTGAATCCCTCTGGAAGTTTATATAGTATCTTGTAATTTTGGTTGCACACCAATTACAAAGTGTCTTGAACACTTCCTGAGCACAGTAATCACACTGTATTGTTGCACTGTTAATAGACAGCAGCATTTTAAATCTTGACCTCTTGCAGTCCTCGCTCTTGAACTCCACCTTTCACCTCACGCCAAGTTTGTCCAGTTGCTAAAATAGGCACAAAAGCCGAGGTGCTACCTCTGGTGTGTGTGGTCTGCTGTAATTCAGGATGGTGCATCGCCCGCGCACACACACAAGAAAACATTTTGGGATACAGCCACAGAGAAAGACAGTGTTTAGACTACCCACAATCCCCTCCTCCCCTCCGCTCGGCTGCACATCTCCTGCACTCAGAACATTGGCCAGTGCCCTCAGGATCGGTTCCCTCCCTGTGTGCTGCCTGTAGGACTGGGAACATTGTGATATGTTTACTGTCATGATGAAAATAAATGTGCACGAGGACCTACAGTGAAATAGTGCAACCCCGAGAGAAAGCTTTGATAATAATGTGAAGGGAGCAGTTATAGATGAGCCTGTCAACATGTGGCGTCAAGTCTCCAACTGTTAACAACGTACAGTATATTGAACATGTGTGCTGAACATTTTGTTCATTACAGTGTTATTAAAGCTGTAAAAAATGTTGATAAATGCCTTTCAAGCTCCCTCCAGAGTTGTGAGGAGGAATGTTATCGTTATAGCTACATACTGTATATCTTTATTATTTTACTGTATGTCTTTGTTACACTAACCTTTTCAATGCCTGCCTCAGATTAAATCATAAAAATGAGAGTTCATAAGATGACTCTGTGTCCACACACTATTTTTTTCCATATCTTCCACATCTTTCCATGTTGGTCATACGAGTGCAAAGACTTCCTGCAGTGCACTGAAATGCAGCAGTACATCAAGCCTTTTAAAGGACAATCTATAGTGCTTTGTGTTAGTGTTTCATTTCCCTCGCCTCACTCACTGGGCCTACTCAGACAGCAAGTGATAATGATGCACCTTACTCCATAATGAGTGTGAACACACGCGTTGCAGCAGTTGGAGGAGGAAGGGCGGAGTCGGCTGATGTGTCAACTGAGTGAGGTGATAACATGAGATTAAAACTAAATCTGTGAGACAAGAGAGAAAGTCGTCAACAGCACTTACTGCAGGCGTTTGCTTCACCAGTTACAACCAGAAAGAAAGCGGTAAGAGCTGGGTACGGTTGTTTAAATCCTGTTTTTCTCAGTTGATTTACTTGAGTAGACAAGGACAGGCTTGTTTACCTGACCTGAGACCAGCACGTGGTGCGTTAAGTTGGAGGAAAGTAACCTCAGTGGAACAGTTTAGACAGGACACCTCAGACGGTAGAGAAACCTCACTTAAAAAGCTCTCCTTGTGTAAACGGCAGAGACATGGGCCAGAGTAGACACAGGCAAATTAGTCCTGAACTGGAATAAAAAATGAGTGTCATTCCTCCCATAACACAACCCAAAGAGCAACATGCGATGAAAAAACAAAAATAAGATGACAAGCATATTCCTGGCAAACACTGTGTACTCAACAGAAAACGACATACAGTTTAAGTTTATGCTTTAGTGGTAAGAATATCTGAGGGGGAAAACACTCCTTAACACTGTACAAGTGTGCTCATCAAGGAAAAACCAGGGCCAATAATCTTATATTGGGTGGTGGGAAGTATTTCTAACACTTTCTAACAAGGCAAAATGGATATGTAAGTTATAAGTCCCGGCTTTATAGGTCAGAAAATAATTTATAATAAAAATATAAATCAGTAATAAGCCATTAATAATGAACTTAGGTTTGTGGACACTTACATAGACATGTTAAAGTCCACATGAAACAAATATCACGGTGGTTTTTGCTTCTGCACATATTTACATTATTTCCTGTAAAATCAGGCAGCTATGGAGCTCTATGGGACCTATTATCTGACTTTGCCGGGACTGGGAGCTCCCAGTAATCGACATGGTCAGACTGGGACCGAATGCAGCATCCGATGTCGAACTGGCCTCTGTCTGTCTCTTATGTTCTGTAGCTGAGCTGAGCAGTCGGAGGACATTAGAGGAAAAACCAGACAGTTTCACACAAATCCCTGATAAAGTTGTGCTTTTGGACAGTAAACAGTGAGGCCCTCCAGAAACACTCCATGCTGTTGCTAGCTTACTAATGAATGTTCCCTCTGTGTCGCTAAAAGTTTGGGATTGATTGACAGGTAAGTGTCAAAATGTTATTGGTTACCTTAGCATGCGTCACATTTTGTTTTACAGGAAGAAGAAATTATTGGATTTTGATAAAAGAAGAAAGAATTTGAGTTTTTGTTTTGACATACTTCATGACTGAATGTAATAAGACAAACAGAGTTAAAAAGGCATTTTTCATTTAATCTGGACATTAATTTTGTTAGTAAAATTGTGTTTTTCAACTATTACATTATATTATTATTACAAGTCAGAATAAGGCCTTTTAGTTTTAAAACATCTTGCCAAGAGACTGCAGTTTACAACACTGGCACTTACAGATACAGACGTTTGTTGTTCTTGTAAATATGATGATTGATTAAAGTAATTATCGACAACTTTAACATCACTGACTGAATTTCCCATCTTTATTTTCCGGGGGGGGATTACATACAGTTTCCTTTTTCAGCAGTAGCTCTGGAGATTCCAAGGTTTAATGGTTTTCCTAAATGATAAGACAGTGTTGTGTGTTCTACTTACAGATCATGTGCCGGCCACATGTACGCCGCGATGACATCACCCCGAGGCGACACAACAACGCCATGCTAAAAGGGCCTCATTCACAACTGCTGTTTAACTGGTGCTAAATAACGCCTGTGTAAGTTAAATAGAGGGTGCCTCAGCAACATAAGCTGTCCACCAACACACACAACCCCGCATTCGTTTCAGTGTAAGACTTTGCAAAAGCATTATATATGGATAGTTATTACAGCGGTGCATCCAGTAGGGAGAGAGCGGATTAAGGAGAATGAGCTACCCGGGCCAGATTTAACCGGGAAGGAGAAGTGAGAATTTGTGGTGTTTGCAGAAGGATGTGCTGCTTCATACGCTGTACAAGGCAGGATTACTGTTAAGGTAGTACTCTGGCTTGTGAGGACACGCACTCTCCCCCTTCTCTTAACCGCAGACACACACTGATTGAAATACAAGCACCCCTCCCCCCCACTCACCCACACACACACATTTATCTTCTTTGCCCTTTTGTAATACACTGTACAAGCAGAAACACACACCTCTCGTCTGCTTTCACCAGCCTCTTTGGGGCGAAAACTACAAGCCAAAGTGTGACATCACCTCTGAGCTGCACTCGTTACCAAGGTGATGGGATTTTTTTCCCTATAAAATAAAAGAACCAAAAAAAGGTTTGCCATGTCCTTGACTTCAAGTTCTAACCTTTAAACTGTCTCGTGTCTCTATCTTCGCATTTAATATTATTAGAGAAACAACTATTCCCATGATGGAAGTCTATCTTTGCTGCAGCTCTACTCATCTGCTGTCCATTAGCCTATTTGTGAATGTCCCGTGCATGAGCTGCAGTGCTGCAGTATTCTGCAGTAATTAGTCCGAACATATAGTGTCGCCACTGCTGCAGCTTTTAAAAAATAAAGACTTACGCACAAAATGAACAGAATTGGCGGAATACGATGGGATTTTGTAGAGGAATATAATAGGAGGGTGGGTGTGCATGTGTGATAGACAGATAAAGATAGAGAGGCTTGAAGGAGAGACAGGAAGAGTCCAGTCAAGTGTCTGCCGGCTGCCGGCTGCATTTACAGAAGGGCTCTTATCAGATTTGGGCAATCACAAAGTCAGACAGGGTGAGGCAGAAAAGCAGATGAGGGAAAGAGCGAACACTCAGTGTGCATATCATGAAGGACTGCTTTAGAGAGGCGAGACAGCCAGACATCCCATGAGGCATGTGCCTTTCTCCATGCATGAATTTCTTTTTTTGAGCAGCGAGACTGGAGCTTGTGATCACTCATCACCACAGCTCAACCAAGGCACAGGAAGCAAGGAGGATCCTCAAACACCACAGAGCTGCTTAAAAAAAAATCCCAGCTCTGGGTGGGAGAGAGGACAGACATGCACAGGTGCTGCTAGAGAGAGAGAGAGAGAGAGAGAGAGAGAGAGAGAGAGAGAGAAGGGAGCAGAGAGAAAAGAGAAAGAGAGAGAGAGAGAGAGAGAGAGGAAGAAGAAGAGGGGGGGTTGAGGGGACGTGTAGGAGGAGACTTGACTTGCTTCAGAAGGGAATAGGAGCCGGAGTGCAATTCCAAAACAGCTGTCCGGCAGACGTCCCAGTCGACAGAAGTGCAGCCCCGAGGCAGAGACAGGAGGCAGGGCAGTGTCAACATGCCACAGGAGCAGCAAAGCAGCCACTGAACACACACATACAGACACACATCAACCTGGGGCTGCAGCATTCGGCAGAGCACCAGGAACCTGAGGAAGTATCAAGATCTGCCCATCGGAATATCTGAGGTGAGTGGGAACATGTTTTATTTCACACTCAGCTGCGACAGTAATCTGAATTAGTAGATAGGATGCAGTTTGCCGGCTGTCATGGAAGTGTCGAGGTTTTTTTGGGAATGTCTGGCGCAGAACGGGATATTGCCTAGTAACAGTGAAACGTGCCAAAGCGTGCATGGTAAGTTAAGCTTGTATAGGAGCGTTTGTCCAGCAGACGCTTTCATACATGTAACACAAGAGCTGAACTGTTAAAAGCAACATGATATCCTCCCTGCTTTCCAAGAGAGACATTTTTAGTCGGGCTACAAGCTTAAGGCATGTTCCCCTGAAAAGCTTTGCCTTTATCTCTCCAGGGGAGCAGATTTGGAGGAGGTTTTTACCGGTACACTGGGAGGAAAAGACTTCTTCTGCGTTGCCAGTATATGTTGACACTGCCCTTCATGTTTCATATGCTTTGATTCGATTTCCTGCTCATCTCTGCCAAAGATAACTCTGGCAAGTGCCGGCCATGCTTGCGGGTGGCACAAGGGGAGCGAGAAAGAAAGACAGAACAAATACTCCACCCTGCTATTCACCCTGCACCACCACCAGGCCCCCAAAAGTTAGGCCTTTGCCTATAATTGAGGTTTTTTTATGTAACAAACAGCTCAGTCTATTCTGTAAGGCTACCATTACCCTCTGTGGTATGTGCATTTGCTTTTTATAACAGCCCCAAAGAGAGGGTCTTTCTGCTATTCAAAGGCGTGACAGAAATCAAGACCATGGTTAGATGTTAGAAGTGTATTTCGAAAACTTCAATCTTCCACAAAGTTGCTTTGAAGACACAGTGGGAGGAGTACATGTTTGTCTTCTACACGCTGATGATGTTACACTGACCACAACTACTACAGAAGTGCAGAATAGCATGCTATTTTTCAACACCACTGATGTGAAATGTCATCACGGTAAGCCCATCACTGGAGGAATATTTAGGGGATTTCTATTTTAAAGAATGGAAAAGTCATACACAGGTCATATTTTCAACAGCTGCTCTCTTTGTACATCCTTCATCGCCGGCTTTGGAGCAGTTTGGCAGTGAACTGTAAAGCATCATCAAACTGTAGCATTTGTTTAGGCTACAGTAGAGTAACACTTCCTCTAAGAATATACTGACCCAGTTATATGGCACGTGACTTTTAGGTGTCCAGAAATACCCAGACAAATCACGAGCCGTTAGTTTAATTACCAGATTCCAACCCTACATTTATCTGCCCCCACACACTCCAACTTTCATCACCTCACTCCTTCTGATGCCCCCCTCACTAATAACTAACCCTCCAAGCACAAACTGATGAGGCAAAGCTCCATTTTTAAAGAGGCTGGAGTGGCTCCAGATCACTTCATGCCCAGACAGATAGCTCTTGCTGACCCAATGACACAGTGGCTTTATGCTGCAGCTCCCATTATAACTGGATGGCTGCTCAGGCAAGCAATTTTGAAAGGAAGGTGCCATCCGATCCCCACTTCCCCAGAGGTGTAAATTAAACCCGCGACTGCATTCTGGGGAGGTGGCGCCGCCAGTCAACACGTGCCACGCCGCCTCTTATTGGGCCAGTTCCAAAACAAGGGTGCAAAGCTGGCCTTGGCTTTGAGATAGACCAGAATACACCTGCTCAACTATTAACAGCCTGCAGAGACACAAATGGATTGATTGGGTCAGCAGAACACAAGGGTCCATCCTGGGATATCCTGAGCTGTTGTAATTGATTTATTTCCTTTTGATCCAAGACAAGCTTACTCTCTTGACTCTTTAGATTCGCTACATATACTCACATCAATACTGATTTAACCAAGCTCTCATTAAATGAAACCTTATACAGCTCCCCAAAAGACCGTCATGAGGATATTGTTCTCCTCAGACTTTGCTGTTGGCCTCTGGAATTCCAGTCATGTTTGTCATATAAGCCAAACTGATCCACCAGCAGGACGGCTGACGTGAAGGTCAGACCTCCAGGCTTTCACCGCACCAGCTGACTTCTCACGGGCCACAAGTGTTGACCTTGGGAAGGATGCACTGCAGAGTTGAGTTGGAGTTGGATTGCTCGTCCACTGGAAGATTTCCTATAAGTTCTGTCCATACTATTGATTTCAGCCAACATTATCATCTATAATAATGCATGGACTGTGCGTTTTCTCATGCCACTGGAGAGCAGAAGGTCCACACAGGCCAGACAGATGTTATAATTTCATTAGAGCAGACCAATAATCAATACGTTTGGTATGTTTCAGCCAGCAGTGACCTCATGTTCTTGGGAATATTGTTGCAAAAGTTAATACAGATATAGATATGTGCACTCTGAGCCCACAGGAAGCAGCTTTTGGCGTGGAGGTGCATTTGTTTCACTTCCTATCCAAGCCCTATTTCCCACTGCAGCGAGCATCAGCTGTCAAGGTCAGACAGGATTGAGGAGCAGCACCGAGAGGGAGAGACACTACAAAAGGGAAAAAAAACAAGTGGGAGGAAGCAAAATGGAAGAAAAAGAATGAGAGAAAAGCTTCAGCTAAACAAGTGAGGGATTTGGCTGTACCACCCCCCCTTTCATCAAACACTGCAGCACTCCTCCTCTCCCCGCTTCCCTTTCTCTCCCTCACTATTAGCAAACAAACACGCTCTCCTTCGCACACATGGCGTGCATTCAAAACCGCTATCTCTCACGAGCGCAGTCAGGCACCTCGCACATACACTCACACTCACACCAGCACTCGAATACACAAGGACCCTTGGAGAGCGGCGTTGCCATTCAACACACTCACACATGTTCTGCATCCCTCAGTGTTTGTCATGGCTATATATAGCGGCATAGTGCTCGCTGGCTGACAGGTTTATTCGAGTGAGAAGATTTCACCTTCAAGACAGTTCATTAAAGTTGTGGCTCTGATGATAGGTATTGGCGCCTAAACGGCACTTCATCAAACAGGTTGGAAACACAAGAATGCATGTTCAAAATGGATGCGCAATGGTTTCCAGCCTGCTATTTGGATTCAAATACGGAGCAAGTGTCTGTCTCTCTGGCTCCACACTAATGTGCCTGCTGAATAAACATAGCCTACTTAAAGTGTCTCTGATAAGGCTGATGCAGTGTGTCTCTATGGGGTCGGTTGCAGCAGGAATGTGGATGTTTTGTCAGTGAAACCTTTTTTCTTTTTTGGGGGGGAATGGACTTGACCGCCCAGGCACTTTTTCTGCAGCAGTGCACTCCGTCAGACGGTCACTGCTGACAGACCTCTCATAAGTAAATATGTCTATAAATGGGCAAGCTCTCTCCTCACTGGTGCTCTCTCCCACCCCCCCATCACACACACACACACACACACACACACACACACACACACACACACACACACACAAACACACTGTCAACTCCCTTCCCTTCTGTTTTTCCCCTTTCTCCTCAGTTGCCATGTCATTTCAAACGGTCAAACCGATTCTCTCCTCTTTTTACTGAGTTCATCCTAAACTAAGCTGGCTGCCAACATGGTGACATTCTCGGTTGGGTTTGTAATGGAAAAGCTCTGAGAGGGCAGCATGCAATCAGGCACCTTTTTATCAAATCCAATAGCTCCTTAATAATGTTTACCCATCCTAATGTATTGTTCAACCTAGCTGGTATCTTAGCCCTTATTAAACTTGGAGCCGACTCTCTGCCCATCAAATCAATTCACATCTCGTCTGCGTCACCTTCTTTCTTAAGATCCACTTGCTCAGTAATCCCTCATTCTCTCACACAATCCCCCTAAACCCCTTTCCTCCCCTCTTTCTCCCCTCTGGACCATCTTTTTCTATCTCTATGCGTGTCTGAGCAGTAGCTTGTTCCTAAAACAGGCTGCCCTGCTCTGATCCTACTAAAGTCTCCTCTCCCAATCTGTGGTCCAGCTGTTCCACATTAGCACATCCAGAGTTGTGGAGGCCAAAGGAGGCTCATGTGTGGAAATGTGAATAGAGCAGAAAAAAGCCTTAGACCCAGGCCTCATCCTCCTCTGCTCTGGCTTCTAAGCTCGCCAGATGCAAGATGAGGATGAGGATTTTTTTTTTCTTGCAGTTTATTTGTGGGACTTGGTGACCAGATTTCTTTTTCTGGAAAGCAGGACAGGAGTTTTATATCAGTAGCAGCTGCAAAAATGCTGACATATTCTCTATTTGTCTCTGATTTCAGGAACGTGGCCATTTGACCTTTCTACATCATCGGACATCACCAGTCCTGCTTGGAATCCCATTTCCTGATCGATGCCGCAATTGCTGAAATTATTTTTGGAGTCCTGCATGACCGGTGTGTTACTGAGAATGTAACTCGAGCTTCTCCCCTGGGGAACTGTAACATCCAGAACTTATAGAGCACTTCCGACTTTTCTATCCTGCATATCTGAGACCTCTTCTGCAGTTACAGCCATGCCAGCAAAAGCGCCCATATACCTGAAACCCAACAATAATAAGAAGGGAAAGAAATGTCGCCTCAGAGATATTTTGTCCCCAGACATGATCAGTCCACCGCTTGGGGACTTTCGCCACACCATCCACATTGGCAAGGGTGGGGAGAGAGATGCCTTCGGAGACATGTCTTTCCTCCAGGGAAAGTATGAACTCCTACCCGGGAAGGGGGACATCCATCCTCAGTATGGTATCCAAAGTGAGTTTCTGAGAGCTAACAGCACCGGTGATGCTTCCTTTGCCGAAACCCCTTCTCCGGTGCTCAAGAACGCCATCTCCCTCCCAACTATTGGTGGCTGCCAGGCACTTACCCTGCCTCTGATCTCCTCCACTGTGTTCTCCATGCCTCCGGAGCCGTTGGAGGACATCATTGGGCCTACAGCTCCCATGAAACCTGACAGCACAGAGGAGGTAGAGATCCTGCAGATGGACGCTTTGTTGCGCTCCATGGACGTCTTCAGCAGCGAGCCTTCGTCTCCCTCCAAGGATATCCAGTCGAAGCCAGACGTCCTCCTGGATCTGCTGAAAAACACAGATAAGTCCACCTCTAAGGCAGTTGCCAAAGCGAACAAAATAAACAAGAGTGAAACCAGGTTTGACAAGCCATCCTCCTATTATATCACCGGTCACAGCAACAGCACCTTCAAAGCCAATGGAAGCCTGAACAGCAACACAAGCAGCGACAGCTTTGACAGCTTTATCGGTAAAGGAGACTTCCAGAACAAGATCTGCAACGGCAGCCTCAATGGCAATGGCAACTGCAATGGTTATGGACATTATAACAATGACATTACTATGGGGTTCAAGCAGGAGCTCTCAAAGTGCAATGGAGAGTGGGTGGACAGGGACAGTGGGGTGGAGGAGGGCCGCATCTGTGATTTTGAGTTTGAGTTTTCCAAGGAGAAGAGCACGTCACAGGATTCCCTCGCCCAGATCACGGGGTCATTCCTCTCCCTTGAACTCGATCTGGGCCCATCCATCCTGGACGATGTGCTCAACATAATGGATAAACCCGCAGTGAAGAGCAGGCCTTGAGCTGCGCTGAGGCCCCAAGAGGAGAAAGGGAATTATTAAACTATAGCCATGAGGAGAGAAAGACTCAAAAAGCAATCAAAATGGTGTCTGGATATATCATTGAGATGAAAATGAGCTACAATAGACAGAGCTGCTTATGTTTTTATTGTCAAAACATATAACTATTCTAGCTTCTATGGAGTGTTGATTCTTCTTTTTTGTTTGCCATGCCAGCTGCATGTTTAAAATGCATGTACTATTGAGTTACAGCTAAAACACAGCCATCGTGCCTTTGACTGTAAAAATGCTACATGATAGATTTGTGTTCTTACGTTGACTCCCACAGCATATACATAATAACTTTGAGGTCCTTTTGCTTCTTTATTTTTTTTTACACATTGTTAAACATATTGCATTTTGTGACTTTAAGTGTGTTTAACAAAGCTTTATTTTGTTTGTCACATAATTCATTTGCCACATGACTATTTCAAACAACAGAACACTATGCATATTTGTGTTTTTAAAATTTTAACACAAATAAATTCCTTTTGTCCTATTCTGGCTAATTTCTTGCAGATAATGCATGCATACACCAGAACTGAGAGTTAATTCCAAAAATGATAACTCAAGAGAGGCTGAAACTGAAAAATATGCAGCACTAAAGTGAAAAAGACAAACAAGAAAGATACCAAAGAAAGAAAGAGCTACAGTGACAGGGAAAGGAGGATAGAATGGATTTATTTTCTCGCCTCTGGCATTCCTTACATTCTGCCTCCCTGCCCTGCAGTGGGAGCACCGGTGGGCCTTCATCTGCCCAACCAGGCGCCTGCTCCATTTGTTTGCGTGTGGACGGGACAGGCAGAGGAGGGGTCTTTGAAATTCCCTGCATTCCAGCCACAGAGCACAAGTGTCCAGGACCAGACATAAATCAGCTGTTTCAAGTGTGGAGGGAGGGCTGTCGGGCCTTAGAGCCACACTATCGCCAGCCAGGATGTATAGCGAGATGAGGTTATAAAACATGAGCTTACAACCCGCAGGCAAACTTTGTTCAGTGCTAGATGAGGCCCCCCCCCGTTACAATAAAGATAATGTTGACCCAACAGCCTAAAAGAACAGGACAGCGGAGATCCATACATGCAGCCTCTTGAACCCAACTACCCCTCAGCAGTGGCCTCCGCGCCCTGATCCTCTGTCCCTGTGGGATCTTCGGTGTAGACACATAACAACACCTTATGGAGGCTTATAGCAGGCTTCCCCCCAAAACACTCACATGCCACTCTGTCATGCTTGTTTAGAGAAAACAAGATCAACTCCCTCCTAATGCATCCACAGTCAAATATACTTGTGTTAGTAAGATCATTTCACATGCTAATAATTATCTGGGTTCAGTTTTACTTCTGTCATTGAGTAAGGCCAATGTGGCGAACCTCTCCGACTCCCTCAAAGGCCTCAGAATGTCCGTAAACAACCGCGACCAGCCCATCGAGGCATCTGAAGTCGCCGTAAAACCAGATGTTAGAGGAGAGTTCCCCACACAAGAAAACCGATGTCATGGCAGATGCCCCAGCCATTGGAAAATCCCAGCATTAGTCCTAGAGAGTTTGCATAAGCTGAGCTGCAGCATACAACCTCCGAGTATGAGTAATGAAAACCTTTGCTGTCAAGGTAATTACTATGCTTATACCTGCAATGGTACATCATTGACTTGATGACAGCCTTCACTTTGACAGGCATGGACCCCAAGAAAACTCCCTTCAGTTTACAAAAGAACTTGCGACCACAGCACTGCAGTGAGTTGTGTAACATATCAGAAGTATTTCTGTAGAGATGCCAAAACTCTCGGACACAAAATACCAGGAAATACCAGTGTTTTATGAAATCCAATACAAATACTCGACATATGTTAGACCCTGAACACTGCCTGCATGTTCTCTGACCGTGAGTTCAGCGCTCTACAAGAAACACAGAATGAAGATTTTTGTTTGTCTGAGCAAGCAGTTGACTTTGTGCTCTCATTTTATAGATGTAAGATTGGTGTTTCTATTATTGTAGAGCCTCGACAACAAAACACTGCACCTGTATTTGAATTGCGCAACTTCAGTGAGTTGGCTACCGGCAGACACAGGGTGTCTTGTCTTGTTTCTGGCTTAAATCTTAAATCTTCACTGGGAGCCTGGGGGCAGACGAAAAAATACCAGAGATAGAAGTTAGTCCTGGTGGACTGTTTCTCATTACCTCAGGGCCAAGGTGGAAGTTTGACCTGAAGAGACCTTGACTCCGACTGCCTCTGATATTCCAAGCCATCCAGAAACAGAATCAGGCAACTCATTGTGACACCCACACACTCACAAGCAGAACAATATCCCACTTGTTTTACTGGAAAGTCACAGCTTAGCGTAACTCGGCTTCATGTTTTTCAGTTTGCTTGAATCTGTCTTAAAATAAATTCACTGAGAAATGATATGTTAGGTTATTTTGTTCGACTATGTTTTGTGCAGCCGAACTGGTGTTACTGAAAACAGGGGAGTGACTGCCAAATTGGTGACGTTAGTTGAGAGAGGGAGGTGACACGGGTGTTGCCACTACCTGCTGCCTTGTAATTTCCCAACCAGTTGCTTTCTTGACAAAAACAGAAAAAAAGCCTAATTGCTAAATTCTGTCTCTTTGACTTGGACTTAGGATGAAGAAAAACATGAGAAAAAAGAACATACACACCTTTTTAAGCATGTTAGCATTTTCTGGTTTGTGCTAACCCATCTTGTGAGGCAAATTAAATCATAAAATATAAATCATCAAGACAATCAAAGACAAAAAGGCACACAAAAGCCATTTTCCCTTACATTACAAGGTATTTGATTCAAGAACATTTATTGAACGTTCCTCCAGCAGATCAGTGTTCCGGGGGATCCAGCTCCTCGGTTTCCTCAGCTAAGGTGAAGCTGTCAGTTTACAGATGAATAAGCTTTGGCCCAGAGGCCACCGTTGCCAAAGAAAGCACAGCTCAGACCCAGCAAAATTTTCCACCCAACCTCCACAACAGAGCTGCATAATGTGCACACTGTCTTTCACATAGAGGTGTTGGTGAAGGAGCCCCTCGTAGCCGGACTTGAGCCATGTCAAGCGGATGAGAGGGGAAACTTTAATAAGACGTTTCCCTGCTCACTGGCCCTAGATGGAGACAGCAGAGACGTCAGCTGCAGGATAAAGCTCCTCTTGTCTTCACCTGCTGTAAATGTCCTACAGCACAAAATGAGCCCAAACACAGATACAGTACTTTAAATTCAGCCAACAGACAGGGCAGGAGGAAATATCTGAGGTATGAGAACAGCCTTTCTTAGAAATATTATTGTTGAATATTTCTCCTGCTTGCTGGAGAGATATGGTTCATTGTTGATACGTACTGTACGTGATCCAAAATTGAATGCCATGACTGTGATAATCGGGGGCCTCGGCAGTAGAAGTTTCTTGGGAACATTTACTTTGGGATGCTGAGCATGGAGCTTGGAATCAAGTGTTCTGCAGATCTGCTGATTTAGCAACGTAGGGCTGCAGCTCCCTTTCAAAAGACAACAACAGGAGAGAGCGGAGAGAACTTACTCTCAGGGGGGAATAGAATGAGGCTGAGCAGGGTTGATGCAGTGCAGATACGAGCTCACATGCAGTTTGGTCTGGCAGGCAATGGACGCCTCAGGTTCACTGCACTGTTGACTGTTGTTTGGCTGACAGTAACCATGGCGAGTTGAGTCTGTATCTTCAGCACGTGAGGGCTGAGCTGAAAGGAGGGCAGAGAGAGACGAGAGTTAAACAGAGCAGTGTCACCTCAGAGGCACCAGAATACCTCTGTGACAAAACCCAGACCCAGTTAATCGCGGTGCCACGCTATGTAGAGCAAAACAAGAGCTACTGTACTCTTAATTGTATACTTCATTTATCTCTAATGCGAATCATAATTTTTGGGGTTATTTGCACTTGGCAGTATTCAGCATAATACCTGGTCTTGTGTGAATTGTACTATTCAAAAAGTGTTCAGTGCACATGTAACTACAGTTCCAGCTATTAACTGTAATTTTAAAAGTTAAGTATAATATTAAATGCTGATTAGTTTTAATTTGTATACTTTATAAATTGGTGTAATTTTTGCTTAAGCATCAAATTCTAGTATACCTTCCAGTATATATATCACTTCTCGTGATTTCTAAGTATCAAAGTTAAAACTGTTTTAAAGGTCCAGTGTGTAACTTTCAGGAGGATCTATTGGCAGAAATATAATATTCGTACGTATGTTTTTATTAGTGCATAATATAAAAATCCTTGTGTTTTCGTGCATAGTGTTCCCCCTTGCAGAGTCCGCCATGTACCCAGTTTCAAAGCTACCATTGTTTCTCCTGCACGCATAGAATGGGAGGGTGAGCTGAGGGGGTTGTAATCAGCAAGATGACACTAAATCCTACACACTGGTCCTCTAAATGCAAGCTTGTATGATGATAAGTCGTCCTTTAAAGTAAAATATGTTTTCTAATTTTTATCCTTAGGGTCCAGAAACTTTTAACATTTTATTTAAAGAAATTTACGAAATAAAGATGATAAAAAAAGAAAGACCAGATTTAAAACAAAACTACTGCTATGTAATTTTTTAAAGAGGAAATAACACAACCTGCCTCTCACAAATGAAACTTTAAATTTATAAAGAATAATCAATGAACAGTAGCTTATGATGACTGACATTAACTTAGTTAACTCATTTGTTAGCTAACTTAAAATAGATATTGCTGTATCACCACTATTTGTGAGTTCTCTGCCTGTTTTATGGTACTAATATGTTAGAGCATTTACTATTATCCTGTTTTGAGACCTCAGTGTGAAGGAGAAACCATGGTGGCTGCAAAACTAGCAAAAAACGGGAACTGCCCTCCCTAATGTCAGTGTTTGGTTTTTCTCTTCTGGGCGTCCATGGAAGATATAAATATAAACGACTTATTCTAAGATAACAGGAACATAGTAATTCTTATTTAGAGGTAATTATACACTAATAAAAACAAACCTATGAATATTATATTCCATTTCTGCAAATAGATCCTCTTAAATGGACCTTCAAAATGAGACGTGACACTAAAACCATTCAAACTTATTCCAAATTAAATAAAGTAAATAAATAAATAAAGAATAATCTGTATTTTCCCTCTAACTCAGACACACTGGGGACTTTGTGTCACAGCTGTGTTTCTACAGTACATTGTATTTTCCAGATAGACACAAGATAATGTACGTTACTGTATTGGCTTCAGCCTGCAGTCAGTGACATTCACTGTCCTCCTGTCAGCTTTATGATAAATACTGCAAGGGTGCTCTGAGACACTGGGCCTAGCACAAAGTCTGTGCTTGCCATTTTAATCGGCTTAATTTACAACAACCCCCACACGGCAAACAATTCATGAATTATTTATGTTTATTCACATTTATTCCAGCCTGGGAAGAATGGGACTGTGACTGAGCCCACTGGGATGGGACAGTAATGTATGCTCCCTGTATCTGAGCTCTCCTTCTAAGGCAGCACAA